AAATATGTAAACCTAATTTAACACAACTCTTACTTCCCATTTTAAAAGGCCTATATTTTGAAAGGTAAATATTACTTAAACAATTTTTAAATACTAGAACTCTTGATAAAAGAATATTCTGATTCAATCAGTCAAGCTCTGAGAGACTCTGCTAAGTATAGTCCCAGGTCCAGGAAGGTACAGAAAGGCAAACAGGTGAGGAAGTGACTGAGATGAATGATAAGCATACATCTGTTCAGCAAAAGTCACCTGCAGCCACTTGGGGTGAGAGCAATGTGGGCAGTATACATGGACTTGTGAGCATCTGGCAAGAAAGAACTCTAGGTTGTAAAATTATTTGACTTAAGTAAACACTGGCTCAATCATTGTCTTTAACAACACATTAGAGCCACGGAGAGAGAACTCACTCAGTCAGTAAAGTGCATATTGCACGAACAAGAGGACCTGAGTTCAGATCTCCAGCACCCACCTAAAGTCCAGCACCACAGCGCAGGCCTGTACCCCAGCACTACAGCACTAGTGGGTGAAGATGGGTGGAACCTGAACACTCACTGGTTAGCCAGCCTAGCCAAACTGGTGATGCTCAAACATCAGCAGATACCTGTTCACATGTGCACAAACACGCCCTGCCTCATATACACAAAGGAAAACAGCATATCAGTATGGATATGAAATAAAAATAAATCTCTAAATACTGATCACATAAGGAGCTGCTAGAACTCATGCACTAAAAATGGGAATGCAAAATCAGGAGGCCCTTAGCACAATAGTTTGATGCATTGTAAAGTTAAATATACAGTCCAAGAAATTTTCCTAAGGGAAATGAAAATCTATACTCAAGAGAAACTCTACCTGGGTATTTAGGATGGTCAATTTGTAATCATTAAATATTTAAGACAATCAAATATATCTCAAGTGGGATAAGTGGGATATGAATAAATAATCTGTAATACATATGTGTATGTATATATATGCATACACACACACACACACACACACACACACACACACACTAAAAATGCTACTCAACAATGGAAGAAAATGAACCGTAGATATACTCAATAGGAATGGGTCTCTAAAGCATTGTTAAGTGAAAGTGGTGAGATTTTAAAAGAAACCTACTATGATGTGCTTCTATTTGTGTGATATTCTGGCAAAAGGGAATCCATGGTGACAGAAAATGGACCAGGACTTGACAGGAACTGGGGGTGGAAGAAAAGTTTGACTATGGAAAGGGAATTGTTGCAGATGACAAAGGTGTCTGTGTTCTTATTCTGATGGAAGCTATAGTATTGTATATATTTTCCCAAGCTTGCTAAACTATACACTCAAAGGATAAATTTAACTGTAAAAGTTATATATTTATTTGAGACAGGGTTATCTCTCTATATAGCTCTGGATGTCCTGGAACTTGAAATGTAGGTTGGTCTCAAACTCACAGATCTGCCTGCCTGCCTGCCTGCCTCCCGGGTGCCGGGATTAAACTACCTTACCAGGCTAAAAGTTATCCTTTAATTTAAACAATGAGGGAAATAGTTGAAACCAATTTATGGTTTAATATATACAAAATATATGTATAGTATAAAATGTTTAAATATTTTATTCTCTGCTCTGTGATATTTGCTTTTTAGCTTTTATTATAAAGACAATCCTAACATTACAATATGCCATATTTAAAAGGCTTAAAAATATTTCTAAGACTTAACAACACACTCAATGAATAAAATCTATGACATTCTAAAGTCATACTTTTGGAAAACTAGATAACTAAGAACTTCAAAGAAAGATGCACTATGAACATATTTTGGTCTGCTAATAAGGTATCAATCAATCTAAAGTATGAATCTTAATAGACACAAACTTTTTTACAAAATGTAAACACTCAATAAATAGTACTGCAAAGCTCATAAATGTTAGGGACATCTACTTGGTTTGACCCCACCTTAGCCATTTACTAGGATTGCTACACTGGACACGTTGCCCAATCCCGGAGAACCCTATCCTCCCAACTGTAAAATGTAAAACCCTCAGTTTTTGTAAAGGCACAATGAGAAAATACCCGCCAAGTAATCAACACATGAAAAGCGCCATATGGCACCTGTTACTTATTAGTTATGTAATAATGGAGTTTTAGGATTATCTATATTTAAAGTTACTGAAAATACTAGTCTCAGCAATTTGGACTTAGAATCTGTCTACCTGCAGTAGCAAATATGGGACCAAAAAGAGAGGCTCAGCGGTCTAGTCTGTGACTATCAGTCCCTTTCCCCCTGCTGTTCAGGGCACACAAGAGCAGCAAAAGAGCAACAAGCTGGGCTAGACTGAGGCCTCTGAGACTGGGGCAAAAGTTAAAGACTCAACACTCCTGCATGGCCACAGCCCGTCTAGCCGCCTTATTTCCCTGTACCTCCCAAAGAGGGAAATGTTTTGTTTCTGGTTTCTTTTAAAACCTGACTAGCTATGTGCCTTTACTTCGGTTAGTGTGCCCTGGGTTTTATGTCTGTCTGTCTGTATTTATTTATTTGTTTGTTTGCATATCAAGTTAATTAAATACTAACGTGTTGTTTTTGTTTGTAAATACAGGAATCTGTCTTTGAAGGGATCTAAAAGCTTGATAATAAAAAATGATATCCATGAGCCTCACCTTCCTCGAAACGCAAAAGTAAAGGAACATTTGTCTGAGGAAAAGGAGTAAATTCAGCCTCGCTTGATTTGATTTCTTCATAGACCTAGGCAACGGCGTGTTGTGAGGGTTTGTAGGCTTCGGTTATCTCGGTTCTTGTTTGATTTGTTTCTTTTAGAATCTGAGACTTTACTTTCCGTGTGTGAATTCTGGGATCTATTTACTTTATTAGTTGTTAAATAAAATTTATCAGGAAATGAAATGTGATTTCTTATTGCATGCGAATCCTTGAATCTATGGTATCTGGGCGTGCTTTCCAAACATAAAGCCCACTGCAACTAAGGATCACCCTGGTTCACTAACATTACATCGCCGTGTTAAGTTGAGCTAAACTACTATCTGTGGTTTGGTAATCCCGACGTGGAAAGTCACAAATCTGCCGGGAAATGTTTAAGAACCTATAAGCGAGCAGCGTCCTCTGTGACAGTCTACATCTGATGCTCTGAGCCCCCGGTCTGGAGCGTGTCTGGCTGGGCTGCGTCGAGGACCGTGTCCGGGGCGGCTT